GAAGGCTGTGCTCTTTGATCTTCATAAGTAAATGTTTCAAGTCCTCTTCACTTTCAGCAAGCTACCAGAGTACGGGATTCTAAATTAAATTCTGACAGCACTAGTTTGTTGAAGAAATTCCCACCTTCCTTTCCTGATCAATGCACCTTACACTCTGCCACCACTTGGCTGTCTATAGAAGCTTAGCTGTTGCTATCATGCTGAATAGACTTTAGGGGAGATTCCAGCTCAAGATGAAGTAGGAAGAAAGGCCTGGTGATCTGCTTCCAGGTAGTATTTATTTCCATGTGCATGGGGCAATTCAGTGGCTGTTAAAAGCCACAACAAGTGTGTGCATAACTTGACAAGTCGACTCGTATATGGAAAATGTATATGGAAAAATAGGCCAAAACAGTTTAAATGACTAATTACAGGGTAGACATACTAACTTGAGTGAAAGGGAAGGCTAAATAAATAAATAAATAAATAAGAGAAAAGATTATTCTGCTTTGGTTAAGTTATTGTATAAATATTAACTAGGTTGATTCCTCTATACATTTAATATCATTTTAAAAAGTGAATGTTCATGGGAGCAACCAGAATAGGAATAATGAGAATGGTCATACATTGTGAAGAATATGATCAATGTCGATGAACAATGTGTATAAAGATTGTTGAATGGGAACTTGAATTTCTGTTAACCTTCACTGAAAACACAATAAAATGTATTTTAAAAAGCACTTTTGAAGAAAAAGAATAAGATTCAATGAATAGTCCTACAGATACAAAATTTGTCATAAAGAAATGGTAAATAAGAGAGGTTAGTAGCAAAGGACCTAAAGAAACAAAATAGAAATACTAAGTGTAGACATATATAGAAGTATGATATGAACTGGTATCATAAATCAAGGGACAAAGGTTATTGTTGTTAGATGCTGTCAAGTCAGTTTGGACTCATAGCAACTCTACGCACCACAGAATGAAACACTGCCCCATCCTGACAATTGTCTTTATATTTTACCCATTGCTACTGCCACTGTGTCGTGTCAATCCATCTCATTGGGGGTCTTTTTCTTTTTCATTGAGCCTCTACCAAGAAAGATGTCTTTCTCTAGGGACTGGTCCCTCCAGATAACATTGTTCAAGTATGAGAAACAGAGTCTGGCCATCCTGGATTCTAAGGAACATTCTGGCTGTACTTCTTACAAGACATATTAGTTTGTTCTTCTGACAGTCCACAATATTTTGAATATTCTTCTCCAACATCATATTTCAAATGCATTGATTCTTCTGTGATCTTCCTTATTCATTGTTCAACTTTCACATACATATGAGGTGATTGCAAATACCAAGACTTGTGTCAAATGTGCCTTCTCAAATTGACATCTTTGCTCTTGAATACTTTATAGAGGTCATTTGCAGCAGATTTGCCTGCTGCAATATCTTAACTGCTGTGTCCATGTGTGTTGATTGTAGATCCAAGCAAAATGAAGTCTCTGACAACTTCAATCTTTTCTCCATTTATCATGATGATATTTATTGGTTCAGTTTTGAGGATATTTATTTTCACTGAGGTGCAGCCCATACTGAAGGCTGTATGTAGTCTTTGGTCTTTATCAGTAAGTATTTTAAGTCCTCTTTACTTTAAGCAAGCGAGATTGTATTAACTTCATAATGCAGTTGTTAGTAAGTCTTTCTCCAATTCTGATACTACATTCTCCCAGATATATCACCAAGACATATTTCCCAACTACTGTTCCTTCCTCTTTGTTGCCAACCTTCTCATTCCAATCAGCATTAATTATCAATGCATCTTGATTGCATGTCTGATAAATTTCAGACAGAAGAAGTTGGTAGAATTCTTTAGTTTTATTGAAATTGGCTTTAGTGATAACAGCATAAATTTGAATAATAGTGGTATTAACTACTCCTCCTTGTAGACATATGGATATTTTCCTATCACAGATAGTAATGTACTTCAAGATAGATCTTGAAATGTTTTTTGACTATGAATGCAGCATGGTTCCTTTTCAATTTGTCTTTCTTGACATAGTATGCCATGTGATTGTCTAATTCATAATGGCTAATGCCAATCTACTTCAACTCACTAATGCCTCAGATATTGATCTTTATGCATTCCATTTCATTTTTCACAACTTCCAATTTTCCTAGAAACTTTTTAAAGTATTGAAGAGCAGAGATGTCAGCTTGAGGACTAAGGTGCACCTGACCCAAGCCATGGCATTTTCAATAGCCTCATATGGATGCGAAGGCTGG